GGGGGGGGGGGGCTGGTTACAGGAGATCGTTTATCCTCGCGACACGTAGCAGACAACTAGAGTTCACTGCGAGTCTTTTGAACCATTCAGTAATGGACCATTTCCAATGGACGACATTGTCTGAATTGTTTTGTTTCAATCCATCCGGAAGATCGGGTTGGGTTGGGTTTGATGACAAAACCAAGGGCCATCTTCACTGGTCACAACCAGTACNAGAGAAATAAATGCACCGTCGTATATTCGTGATCAGTTAACCACCAGATGACAAATCACTCAATTTCTCTTCTGTACGGTCTACTGAGTGCCGCCATCTGATCATATCAGCCTAAGAGGCGCGGCACAAAACAGATCCGACAGAATGAATTCTTAGGGACAATGATGGAATGCGCCTATATCGTCACTTCGAGACCAAGTAGTGTATTTGGTAGGATATTCTGAATGAAAAGGGCCAAGTTATTGGAACTATCGATTCCCAGGGGCCCAAAAATCCCCTAGCACTTGATAGGACTCACCTTCAAATAACCACTTCCATCAATAAGCAAATTTTCCGGTTTCAAGTCCCGATAGATAAGATCGAAGAAATGCAGATATTCAAAGGCCAACACAACTTGGCTCGCGTAGAATCGGGCATCATCTTCCCTACAATCACGAACGAAACCGGTGATTATTTTATGCGAGGGCATAATGCACAACGAAATTAATTTCTATCAAAAATTAATTTGGTGAACTGTAATGATGAAAATCATATTTATTATTATTTAAGTAGATAGATGTGAAATCGGAAAGCACGACGTAAATTTTATGTAGATTATGAAAGGCTTGACGACCATAAAAACCGAAAGAAGAAGAGACTTTATGCCTAAATCCAAGAGCAGATTTCTCTATTCATCCATCTATCTATCTATCTATCTATCTATCTATCTATCTATTTATGCATCTATCTATCTATTGATCAATTAATATACAAAGGGAGAAAGGTATCCTTGCTAGAATTGAAGTGCTAGAATGTGCCTCGGGAGATATCCATATACATCATTGTTTTTATAATTATTAATAATACCACCAGTGTTGCTCTTTTACTGACTTATGTGGCAGACGCCTGGCTCTTTAAAAATGTCAATGGGCATTGTTTGAAATACAATGATTGTAAAATATCGCTACAGAAAATTAATCCATATTTAACGATGTATGAACTCATTTGAACTCACGAGAATTTTTGTACACGTCGTAAGTAGGAGAACATTTCCCCTCCACTGACGAAATCCAACACCATATACAGATTTGTGTTATCCTGCAAAGACCAAGTGGGGTTTGAAGTAGTGGGCGGGAGTTGGGAGTGGACTGCATCAGTTCACAACCATCTTCAAGTAATAACATGGGTGCATTCCCCGGGAATATACAGTGATAAAAACAATAGCTCCCTTGGACTGATTATGTGAGTGATTGTTGTGGGAGCATGCATATTGAGTAAGACATAATATCTGAGAATAAAAAAGTGTCAGCAATTCGTCACGTTCCAGAACGGTACACCTCGTCAAAATGGCCTCCAGTATTGTCAGAGTGCATAACTGCGAGCATAACATTAAACAGCACTCGATTCCATTCTATATATTTTCCTCAAATATCTGACTACCCCAAAAGGTTTCTGTGAATCCTGGCTAATTTGGATGGAAAATCTGACTTAGACTAAACAACTTTCCAGTGTAATCCTCAATCATTCCTGCTGAATTCCCGGTTTTACGCAACACGATCAATTTTGTTAATTATTCCAATCTTCGTAATTTGAAATCCGTTCGCATGCAGACGACTGGGTGAGATACCGATTTGATAGGATAGATATGATCGTGCAACGGTACACCCAAATGCCAAACAAATATATCATGAAAATGGAAGCAGATTCCACGTTTGATTTAAGTGTATATGTATAAAATCGATTCTGGACGCAAGCCTTAAAATGTGCCTCATGTTGACAGAAGGGTACGACCAAGATAGAGGGAGAAAGTCGGGGTGAGGTGCAGTTTAGAACAAGTATTGCCAAAGCTAAAAGGGTAGATTGCAATGGACCGAGGACGGACAAAAGTGTGCAGATTGATATACTGTCCGTCCCAACAGTGTCTCCCACCCCTCATCCCCCCCTCCCCCGCAAGTGTTTTTTTGTCCCATTCATTGCGTCACGTTTTAGAGACCAGATGGCCGGCCTATATATCACTCGAGCAAGCGTGTATATGTACATACAAGATCGATTCTCTATAGGTAAACGATCCTGATTTATGTCATCGAACGAGGCTAATGGTAACCCAAATATGAAGCTATCCATCCATACAATGACATTACGTCATATTTTCCAAGTACAGTATATTACCCCATCGAAACAAACCTATGTAAAACCAACTAACTGATGAGAGGATATGATTTAGGCACAAATTTATGCCTGTCGGACGTGCAATTGTGTATTTCTGTAACGTGGTTCAACTCTCACAAGGTGTCACTTTTCCTAGCAATCACGATCATCCTGACGCTGCATTTGCCCCGTGTACAATTGCTAACAAGGACCGACCAACCAATGGCCCCGAACAAAACCGTTCCCATTGCGCTCTCTCACTCTCTCTGACACGAGTTCACCATTTTCTCAAGAATGAACTTTCCGACCGACTGCACGTTCACTTCCCCGAATTCGGATCTCCGCTTTCACAAAATGCTGTTCAAACATAGGCGTTTCCCAGCTGGTCAATTGGATCCAATTAAAATGAGCCACACCCTGCGTCATAGATGTGTGTTCAGGTCNAATAAATAAACAGCGACAAATGAGGTCAGCCACCGCAAAATATCACGCTGTACAGGAATAGGTGATATTTGCATGTTTTGGCCAATTTTAGGTGTTCAGTAGGTCAATGTGTTGTTATTATTGTTCTTGTTTTCTGTTTGTCCACACAGTCCTCTGATTTACCGAACGGAAAGACTAATATACTCTTGGATAATTGGCTTAGAAAGAGCATCGAGTTCAGCACAAAAATGCCATAATTATTAACTGTGCCTCCCTTCTTGGTGGCCTTATTTGTCCGTGTATTAATAGTTTTTTCCCTCGGACTTCCCTTGTTTTTTGTCCTTGAACACGGTTCCGCCCTCCTAATGTGTGCAACCCGGGGCTAATTGTCTCCACGATTGTCCCGATTTGACCAAAAACCTGTTCCCGGACAACATGTTGCATTTGGAAAGTTTTTGTGTCGTCTTTCCCGCATGTGGTAACGTCACCAAGCTAGCACCCCGGGTGTGTGTGTGTGTGTGGGTTCGAGTCCCACCACCACTCCACCTGACTTTGTGTGCAGCCCTTTGATTGACCGCTTCCCCATTCCTAAAAATGGTATCTTTGTATATTCAAAAAAGGGAAGTAAAATAAAGATGTTTGGAAATGCTTGAACAGGCTTGACGTGACCAGATGTGAGTAGTTTATGAATCTGGAAGTTGGTATTTGTTCAGTTATCTTTCATGTATTTGATGGTGGTGGCTGATCACTCAAAAATTGGGAAGCAAGAGTTGGAATATTTAGGCGCTGTTTTGGAGATTCGAACACAATGTGAGCCTTCACTAGATCCATGTTCGACCCAGGTGAAACCGGTCCATTTCAAAGATAGGTGCCCTGTCATCATGGTTGTGCCAAATCGTGACTATATCATATGGAATTTTTATTTTTGAGATCTGAATATTTATGATGTTGATTTTATTCATGTGGCTAACATGTTGTTAGCCTAATCGACTGTCTATGATCTTGATGGTTCAATGCACCGTTATATTCGAGGTTGAGTTTAGACCACCCCCCCCCCCACCACCACCAAAACCAACACCAACACCTGACTTCCCCATTCTCTGTTTGTTGAATATTTAATAAAATTAACGATAAAATGCAATAAATAAAGCAATAGGAATAGAAGAATGTGTAAAACAAATCACAGACTGGTCATAGCCATATACAGATATGTTGAACTGGTATGTTGGTGTGGAATCACAAACACACAATAATACGCTCCACGGAACCGAGTTGCTCACCTTGAAACTGAATTCCATGCTGACAAGGAAAGGAAAATTGATCGCTTGCAGAATGGTTTTCTCGTTCAACGTGTGCTCTACCTGCTTCAGTTTGACAACCTACATGGAATGTGGAGAAGAAAACAATCAGTAGATTTACAGGATGGGGATTTGGCGAACTGAAAAGAAGCGCAAAGCTTTCTCTGTCATGATGGTCAAAACGTTCCTGCATTGTGAAACAAAGTTGTATAGAATTGGTATGGAACATCGGCGACGAATCCCTATCAATCGTTTCTGGCAACTGTTGTGCATAGTCATGTGTGGAGCGTGCTCCTTGGTGCGTGTGTGTGTGTGTGTTTGGGGGCATTCTAGACTCTACATTACACCGAATCGATCACCATCTTGCGCAGCAGTTACCGAAAGGAAACGTTCTTGAAAACATTCTATGTTTCTGTGTATCGTGCCACATCACACTGAAAACACTTCCAGAGAACAACCAATTTATTCTCCCCTTTCTAAATGAACTACGTATATGCTACAAATGACTTTGTATTTGGGCTAACAGCCGTGATGTCATACAAACATGCCTGTTTTTGTTTACCGACCGGTTTTCAACACCTCCGTTCTATCGTTCCTCCAATCCACGAACGAGTTGGTTGTCAACTGAGTGACACTCATCTCTGACGATATCATAGATTGGTTAGCCTTGGATATAGGGAACGAACACAGACCTGTCCAGGCATTACTGCCAATCTAAAGGGAGACCAGTTAAATAAGCCACCATGTGGCGATCCGGGCCTACGAGATGACGCCCACCCTGGAGCGGCGCTTTACAGTCTTTGGACAACTGCGATCAATCAAGCTTCACGGGTGACGTCAGCAACGTGCATAAGTGTCACTGTTTCTGACTTCATACCATAGGCAGATCGTAGGAACCAATCCGAGATCGTGCGGCCCAGACAGAAGCAGAACGATGCCAGCAATACTAGAAGGCGATTGGTAGAAGCCTGGATAACCAATGAGCCTACTTGCGTACACATTATTTATTCCCGTTATTTCTTCCAATAAACGAACTACCATTCCTATACCCTTTTCCTCGAGTCTCAGTTACGTGGGATATTGTGTACTAGTGCCAGCGTAGTCCTGTTCTTACGTGATCCAGTTCGTGATTGCTTATCCTTGATTGGTATTCCATGGTTCGTACCCCGAGTTCAGTGTGTATTACTACTACTACAATCACTGCACTCCACCACCCCCTCGGAGGGAGAAATCTAGGCTGAAGATAACACCGTGTGATTGTGTTTTCGTGACTGGAGAACAAGTCATTTTTTTTCTGTATCGCGATATGCATTCCAAAATATGGGGGCACATGTGCAAAAATCAATTGTCATTCTCAATTTGAATTGTGCAGGCACTACGTTCACAGGATTGTAATCCACGCCCGGGGGTATCGAACATGAAACTGTCCGGGGGTATTTCGCACCGAGTGCTCGTGGTGATTGTTGTTTAGTGGCATGNCCCCCCCCCCCCCCCCCCCGGGAGTCAAGAACAGAAAACACCACATCCGAGCGAGCACTGGTGCACACAGGCCAAATGCATCACATTGGCCAGCACGTTACATCACGTCTAGCCAATGCAGGCATGAGTACTAACCAGGCAATCGGGATACGGGAGGGGGGCGGGGGGGGCGGGGCGGGGCACACGATAACACAGGTTCATTCATGTATTCTATATGCTTTGTGATTGTTTTATTTTGCGTCTTGTTAATTAAGGGAATGAAAAACAATAGTTGAACGCACTGTGGAATTCACCTGAATCAATAGGGCATAAAAAAGTTCATGATTGTGTAGTGGAAAATTTTCAGTGGACACAGACACGATAACGGAAACAGATGGATCCGGTGTATAGACGCGTGGCAATGTTAGTTTTACATGAATTCATGATTTGTTTTCTTTTTTCACTTTAAACAGCCCGGTTACATCACACGACCAGAACAGTTGTTGTTGTTCGATTGTTTTCCCCATGTTACACATCTGTGCCCACGGGTAAGTGTGCGAACTTGACGATGTGGATGACCCAACTTGCACACAAAAACTTTTCGATATACGATCCACACACATACACACACACACACATAGAGTCAGGAATAACAATCTGGCATTATCGATCTCCATCGACTGGTCGCTTTGAAAGTTTTTAATCCCTCCAATTGGAGCTATGAAAGCGGCTACGTCTGCTGCGTTGCTATTGCTGTTTCGGCTGACCCAACCGGACCATCTAGTTTAGTTCGTTGATTGAGGGGGTTCCAACACCGGGACAAGTTTTTTGTATGAATCAGATTAACAATGAGGTTGACTGGGATTTGACACGGAACGGCATGAAATCAGCTGTTCAAGATCTCTCAACTAACTGGTTATTTGAGCAATGCGGATACCGACGTGATTCATCTCGATAAGGATTGCTTGTGAACAAGATCAAGCGGTGCGCTACATCACCAAACCCAAGTGGTAACGCATTGCACACTGCAGTCTAATGTTCCAACCGACGACAATTGTTCATCGAGGGGCGAGTAAACTGTTCCCGCTATGCATGACAATCTCACCTCGGAAATGCTTGCGAATAGGCAATCCGTTGTGTTTGAGCAGCGGCGAAGGGGGGGTGGTCTTTTTTGGACACTACCAATCGCCAACCAGGGAATAAAAGTAACGGACAGGAATGTGAACTCTACAGCCACCGGTTACTCATACAGAGAAGTAATATATTCAGCAATGAATATAAGAAAATGGACTGTGAATAGTTGTGTCGGATTTCTGGTTGAAGTCATACGATGGTTTTTCGTCAGTACCTGATTATATTTATCTGACAGTATTGGTTCAATCTATCAACAGAATTCATACACAACTGTCACATACATACATCTATGTGTGTTTATGTAATGCAGTAGATAAGTACTCATCTTGAAGCGTGTGATAAGTGAATCAGCAAAGCACGCATGTTTGCAGGTTCCCGTTTGGAAAATAATATTTTGTTTACACATAGTTTGGGTACCACGGATTTGCTACCGGATGCTACTCACCTTTTGTTTCTCTAAAATTTTCATCGCATAATACTTCTGATTCTGTTTGTGTCGAACAAGCATCACGCGACCGAAGGACCCGGTACCCAATGTTTTCAGACGATCAAATTGATCTAGGGAAGCATTGTTCTGTGAGTCGAAACAGGGTAAAAAGTAAAAGAACAGAGACAAGGTCAGAATCGGCATTTTTTTGGAAAGGTGGGGGGGAGGATGGGTGGGTGGAAGGGAGAGAGGCAGTTAGTCTATAATAAAAATTACCAAAGCATCTTTGATTGAATAGTGTTCAGTTTGGACCCAGAACATCCCAGTGGATGGATGAATAAACGATTCAATATCCGGTGATTCTGCTCACCACATTGTGATCTTTTGTTCTAATTTGAAAATCGGCTTCTGCTTCTCCAGTCCTAGTTCTGTCGACTCGATATCCAGAGAAATAGACAGCAAAAATTAATCGTTACGTTGTTTACTTTACAGGCGGGGCCTCTTTCAGCCTTGGTTTACAGAAAAAAACGCATGCTCAATAGAATGAACCAAGGGAAAATTATTTTCACTTTCTCAATGAATTTGATACAACGACAAATTGTGGTTATTAGACTGCAGAGAAAAATGTTCAATTTCGGAAATGATTACTGCACCATCTGACGAGTTAAGCAATGAAGTAATGAAGTTAAGTTTCTGTTGTAAACGCCAGTTTTTTGGCGCCTGAGGTAACTAATTTCCAGTCTCATCTGCTTTGTGAGCAGATCAAATAAACCAACAAAAAATAACCGCCTATTGCTTATTGCTTATGTAGCAAACAAATAATATGACAACTGATTTTCATAAAGACTTAAAGAGTTGGGGAATTTGCGAGAAGGTGAACTTGGCAGGATGATCATTTCGAATCAATCAATCAATCAATTTTAAATGGGTTTGGTACCAAACGGGAACGCAGTTTGGCACTCGCTCACCTGGGCCGGATGTTGGAATTTCTCATCGAAGATCGGTTTTTCTTTTTCCAGAAATTCGTAGACTAAAAGCAATAATACAGAAAAAAGAACATTTGTTACATGCACCGAAAACCGAAAATCAGTTATTGACTCTGCATGTGTGTGTGTGTGTGTGTGTGCAGTAGAACCTCACAGTGGAATTTTGACCCCAGTGATTCTGCACCGAGGCAGAACTAAATTGTGATGGTCAGCTGGTCACTGGTTACTTCGACAACAAACTGAACATTGTGATGGGGAAATATAGGTATGGTGAAATGCTCAGATCTCGTACACGACAGCTACCCTATATGCGCGTGACTGATTGCGTGATACATCTGTGTTTTTCAAAGGGGTTTGACAGGGATTTGCACGCCCTGTTGTTCAATACGTCTGAATTTTGTCTGTTTCTCCGCATGGGGTAGTCATGGCCCATTTCTTAACCACTGGATCTTAATTAGCAATAATAATAATAATAATAATAACGAGACTGCAACACCATAACCATTGAAAATGGATCAGGATAAGGAAGGAAGGAATATCCAACAGGTGAGGTTGGGGGTAGGCGTGGACGTTGAGTGAGTAGTCCAAACAAATGGACAGACAATCGCTTGAGTTGATTATTCCTAGTCTCGTTGAACAGCTTTGTAAAATTATGATCTGCGATCAGAGATCACATAAACTGGTGGGAATTAGGAGAAATTTTCATGGGTGCTCAAAGAAACGGATTCGCAACGATTTTAGTCAGAAAAACTGTGCGTATTCATTTTTTTGTCGACTTGCTTAGTGATTTGTTTGGTGCGATATATATATATATATATATCATAGTAAGTAGTATGCGAATGACCGGACGAAATCGCTCTGGAAGCACTCAATCGGTTTTGTCGTTATAGCCGTTCGTCAGGTATGCGTATCTGGTAATCTTGCGTCAGTTCAATCATGTAGCAGGAGATGTATTTTCGTCACAATAACCTTGTTTGTAACACCGGGTGACTTTTGGATGGAAGGCTGTTTCAAAGCTAGTCCATTGATGAATCGATACTATGATTCGATATGTTGATAATGGGTTAGATGCTACTAACCACAACAAACGTGACTTGATTGTCTTTACAGAGTATTCTTTTCAGTCATTCATGTACTGCTTATTATTAAATATTCTATAAAGGCAATCCGGTTAAGTATGTTGCAGTTAGTAGCATCTAACCCACCTACAACATATCGAATCATAGCACTGATTCATTAATATATATCTATATATATCAGCAAACAAAATCATCATTTTGTGGCAATTTCCCTTGAAATTTTAGTTTTAACTTAGCTTAGTTAAACTTCAGTCACCACATGGTTATGCCGCATGGGAACAACTTTTTTCGGGAATTAATACCCCGCGCCAGAGCAGATCGATGAAATAATCAAACACCTCTAGGATCTTAGTAACATTTTGAATCTGCCATGTGCGCTCTACCGAGCCTAACCGGCTCTCATCCAACACACAGTGAAGATGTCCACTTGTTGCTAGTTTTGATTTCCTTTCACTGAGGACCTGGGACAACAGATTCGAGGTGGTTAGTTCACTGAACAACACCATTTTGACTACGCTCTTGGTTGTGATCTATCCACAGCGGCTGACCGATTTTGTTCTCTCTCAAACTCGCTCGTTTGATCATTCTATCATTCTGGTCATGGGTTTCCGTCACTCGCAACCCATGGAATCACGTGTTTCCTTACTCTGTCGATGGCCTATTGGCTGTGCACGTACAACCTTGTTGGCGTTTCCCAACATCAAATCAAAGGTGACCCTGATGGTTGTCTGTTCTGTCGTAAGCACATAGATAGACCTGATAAATTATTTACCATGTGAAATACACTTAACGCACTGTGTACAATTTTTTTGATCACGTGACACGACGGAGCCGACACCAATGACTCCTCCTCCCCTCCCCCGCCACCCGGGCGAAAACCACGGGGTGACTATTGATGACACTTCTCATCAATTTTGAATCTAATTGTGAATAACAATCTGTCCGATGCAACTGGTGGCAAACTTCCTTTCTTCGTTTCAAAATTTTTGCAATCTTTTCGGTGCTCAAACTCCAACGGAATTTTTCGTTGAGGAAAGTTCAAAAATACCCACAATCTGATAACAACGCTCATATGCATAATGAGAAACCGATATGGTCTTGCACACGTGCTAGATAATTTTCTGATCTATTCACTATGATGAATGAGTATTGCAATCTGTTTGCGACTAACTCCGGGTCACCTGGGAGTTTGTATGATTTACAATTGATACATTCAAATCATGTGATTTATTTTACGTCACCACACTGTAACGTATATGCATACACATTAGCATGTATGATTGATTTGATAAGTTCTTCAATTGGTCGTGACAACAGAAAAAATAATCGATACATTTTTCAGTCAATCGCGGTAAAATTTAATTGATCCCCATAATGTTACCGTAATCTCCATTTTGTTGTGTTCACATAGACTCGGCGATGGAATCAATCATTTTGAAATTCAATCATTCGATCGAATGCAGTGCACGTTGATTGGACACAGCATTGTCTGATAGCTCATGAAATCGGTTAACAATGAAATCCAATTATGCGTCCAAACGCGATGGAAATATTTGTTATGAGCGATAAAGAGCACCGGACAGCTAGTTCATCTTGTTTGGGACCATGTGAAGACTCAAACCATGAACCACAGGGTTGAATCTTCGAAGCCTTACACCTGAGCTACACAATCTCTCAAGGAGTGAAACCTACACCCAAGACCATTAACAGTGCCTGGTGCCTATGAACAATCGAATGGGCTAATCTAAACTTGATATTCTGAGGTACACAGTTATATTTATAGAACCGGTGAGCTTGATTCAAATTGAGGGCAGAAAACACGCATTATTATTAAGTGATAATTGCATTTCACACATTTTAATCTATTTTGGTGCAGTGAACATATGATTAGATGATTTTTCTATTTTCTTATGAATTCGTTTAACGGGAAATTAAAAATAAACATAGTTGAGATTCGGTAAAGAGAACAAGACCGAAAACAGACATATGTCACGTGATGTTAACATTTCGTTCAATCATCTCAATCGCTGACGTAAAACAAACAAGCACATTTATAGTACATTGGATTTGTAAATCCTTGTTAGTGAACTGACATATGCAAATAGACAGGGGCTATTAGAATCAAAGAGCAAGAGGTCAACTCTACAGCAAGTGAACTGATTGCGTCAATAACTTTCGGCGGCAAAGAACGGGATTAGGTAATCGGATTAGCAACGCCTCACCAATTGCCAACAGTTCTAATAGCCCCTGTCAATCTGTACACGCTCGTTCATTAACAAGGATTTATAAATTCAATGTACTATAAATGTTCTTGTTTGTTTTACGTCAGCGATTGAGAAGAATAAACGAAATGTTAACATCACGTGACATGTATCTTCTTTCGGTCTTGATAGGATGGATAAAGGGAACCCAGTGTTTAAAAATCCAGTAAAGGTTTTAAAGATGTGTTGTATTAGAAGAAACTGTTTATCAGTAACACGCAATCCTTTGTCAATATTTGTAACCGAACGGAATGGATTAATCAGAGTGTATGACGTGGATGATGATGATGATGATGATGATGATGATGATTCGGATGATGATGATGAGGTGTACGACAACTCGGAAAATTATAAAGATGTTTGTAATTTCATTGATTATGACGCGCTTGTCGCTCGGAGTGAGATTCACGGGGAACGATTTACAATGTACCGAATACTGTGATAACGATGTTCGTGTAATTCTGTGCTCAAACATACATTTACGTAAAATGTAACCCGATTTTGTTTTCCGATTACAGTAAATTGCTGCACCTGTACATTTATCTGTCATCTAAGTCTGAATAGGACAGATAAAATTCCAAAGTTCGATTCCAAATGAAGAGTCCGCACTCAGTTCAAGTCACGCGAACCACATCCGGTTTCAGGCGATGCAAAATAGACGCATTTATCATCAAGTGTATTCCGTTTATGAATATGAACACAGTAAACCCTGCATCCTCCTCCCCCCTCCCATACCCACACACTGTCTCTGACCGAGTCTGAATCTGGCCTCGTGTGCTCGTGTAGACCACTGTTTTGTCAAATGTTTTGATTGTCAGACTACTTGTTTGGAATAAATAATCTTCCGATTACGGGCAGCAAAGCGTAAGTCACATGATGCAGTCTGCGTACCGGGTACTGTTCGTGTGTGTGGATGTGCTCGTGTGTGTGCCAATTGAAAGTACATTATTTGTCCTATTCACTGTGAAGAAGTGACAGAATGCGCGAATGTAATCTGGTAGAATAGCACTCTAGTTACAGCCGGTGTCTGAGTGTCTCTACTAAAGTTGCATTCGTGCAGAAATGTTTTACTGTGTTCACATGGGATTTTTTATTGTGCTGGTTCTTCTTCAATAGAAAGTCGAAAGTAATCTCCAAAAGTGACTGACACCAGTTGAAACTTCGAAACCAACTGTGTGTGCTTGTGGGTGTGCAGTGCGAAGGCGTGGACAAATATAATGTTTCGTGGCGCTGACAACTTCGAAAACTAAGTTGCGTAGCAGTAAAGCAAACTCGGGTGATTTTTACGTCTTTACGCAATCGTTCATTCTGATCTCACTAGTGTGAAGGAACACCGTGTACCCAAAATGCAAATAGAATTAGGAAGCTTAAAACGTGATTTCCGGATGGGACCTAATGTGAGGTAATGTAATAGTATTCGCAATGTAATAATCAACATGGAGACTAACTGTCCAGTTGTTTTTATTACGCACTTTCGTGTGATGAACAGCACAGTCTCGAGGACCTGCTGTTCAGTGATGGTAACCGGTAACCTAAGCCCGGCCGCACTTGAAGTGATGAACCACATAAGGCCCCTATGGGTTTGGCGTAGTACTGAACCGGACGACAGCACGGCTGCCCTACCGGTGCAAACTCAAACGATTTGCAATCATCCTGGTTTCGCAAAACCTCACACCCAAACGTTTCCACACTGATACTCTCTCTGAATTCGGTTTCATACCAAGTACACAGTGTGCATTTTGATATGCAAACCTCTCCGATTCCATTTACGCCTGATATTCAAGACACAGACAGAGAGAGACCTAATTGTATCTAGGGCAATTAATCGGTCTCAGATAAACTGAATCCCTCCATCTGATTCACAATGCTCAATCAAGGTGCGGGTTTTTCTCCAATTGTTTTGGGTTTTTTTCTTGAACACTCGATACTCATTCTGTTGAACACCGGTTCCTTCTGCCCCAAGAGATAGATGCTTTTTCAAGGCACATTGAAAGTGTGGGGCTTCGGGCCCAACTTCCATGAACCGCATAACGAAGTGGCTCGTGTGTGTGTGTGTGTGTGTGCGTGTGTGTGTGCATGTGTGCTTGCGTCATGCATTCTTGATTGATGTGCGATTTGCATACGCATCGGGTGAGTACTACTGATTTACAAATCAGACAATGAACAGCCGGCCATATACGCTCAGTTTCATGGACTGGTCGAGCTCTACCGATAGGATGCATGGATGTGCATTGAATACGCATTTTTACGCCAAATGGTTTTCATGATGAATGATAGCTTTTTGTGAACTATGGTGAACTGAAGTGAAAATGAATCAAATCGGTGACACCTGAATGTCTGAATGCCAAAACGTTTTGATGGCTACTCAAAAAGTAAAAGATATATATCTCAGATCTAGGATCTAGATTCTTGAGCTTCCTCACGTTGTTCTATTTTCGATTGGGCACAAAAACACTCTGCGTGCACTATGACGAGTTTTCCACACATGCTTAACAATGTCACATCAGTGTTTCCAAATAGATTGACACCTCGGTTCGTTTGCGAAAACCGGATTCCCAAATTCACCGTACTCAGTGAGAACATCACATTACAACATCACTCGACAACCCCTCCCCCGAGGCGCTACGGTAACCGGATTGTGTAACAGTTTTTCGGATGTGTAACAGATGAACAGATGAATCCGCACTTGTCTGTTTTTTATCGACTTCATCGAAGTAATGGCCACGCACGACAGTGCTGTCTCGATGTATAAAGTTCATTCTATCCTTTTTTAATATCGACTGGCACACACCAATCCAAGTAACATATGTTTTCTGTGATATACGAATAGATCTGGATACAACGTTTCGGTATTGATAAGGCGGCCAATTCAGTACAACATTCAATTTGAAAACATCTCAATTGGTCTCGGGGAAAAGTGAATTAGTCGAGTACAGTGCTATGGAATTTGCGTAAAAATCTGGAATTACTAATTTGAGTTCGCTTGGTGCATTTTTAACTATTTTGAAAAATAAAAATTTCAATGTGATGAAAAGCGCAGTTGGTTGCTAGGGCGATACGAATCTAGCAATTTTGTCAACAAATAAACACGGAGAAAGAGGAACGAAATTACGGTTCACTTACGGCAATCGTATGATCGTCTACGTTTTAGAATCGAGCCCAGTCTACGATGATGCATTACCAGGAAATGATTACTGTATCAAAACCGTAAAGATCCACGTTTTTATTGAACACAAGCAGTGCACAAAAGGTCGGTAACTATGCTCAAGATCACTTGAATCAGCTGCTTGACGGGGCCCTAATATACTACAGGACCACGTGGTCCCATAGACGTGAAAACGGAGCGCGGGGCCGGGGGTGAGGGAGGCGGTGGGTGACGTTAGTGATGCAACGATTGTGTTTGTGTGTGTGTGTGTTTCGAGCGAGAAGCGGTGCCATACGCCAAAATGAGTTCCACGGGTGCTGAACGATGGAGACACGACGAGGCAGAAGAGAGGACTGAGTGACACTGGTCTCCGTGTCGAATGCTCATTAGCATGTCTTGGTGGAAAGTCATCGATTTTCTCGTGGCTGCATCTCTCTTTCTGTCTTTTTTTTGTTGCCGATCGGAGAACACCTTGTCAGACCTATGTGTGCTATTTCTGGCACTGCTACTGTTGTTGTTGTTGTTGTTGTGACACTCCCGTTCACTTGTTCAATCTCTTCCGCTTCTGCTTCTGTCTATCTCATTCCTTTCTCCACAGCATGTGCAATGTGTGTGGATCATGGATGGAATGGGTTTGGAGATGCGGGCTGGGGTTGAGGCGGGCGGGGAGGGGTGGCGGGTTTGCTAACCCCTGTACGTGCATATTGTTTGAATTGTTATCGTAAGAAATGACGTTGTATGTGGATCGGTACGCCCCCTATTTCCGCCCATAATCAATCCTCCGACTGCATGTTTGTCAAATTGATGACGCATATGATCAGTCGGGTTGTTAAGACTTTGTCTCTCCCCCCCTCCCCGTGGTATAAATAGTTTCTGATTGCACAACTGGATCAGCTGACTTTGGGCTTTTAACTGACGAGAGACATAATGGAAAAAGGCACACTCACAGTTTCTACACAATCTCTTTGATTTGATTTTCAAATACAAGGTTTTTCTTCATACCTGCACCGACTGATGTTGAGCCATATTGGGTATTTATTCCTGATGAAACAGCGTTGCGGTGATAGTAGAGCATTACCAAATTTAGCTGCGATGGGTTAATAACTGAGGCCAGAGCGTTGTCAACATCATGAAGAAATTCAATTTGAAACATGCCCCTCCAGCCAGTCAGTCGGTCACCGGAATTCTGTTTTGATCCTGGTTCAAACTCGGCCGATCATTTTTCAATATCGCGTTTGAGATATCCTTTCCTGTTAACACTGTTAATAGTCCACAGTGTCCGGATTTGGTCTATCCACTTTCGGTACCCCGGGAACACGGAGTTTCCCACTACTGGCCAGTTTCCTCGATCGGCTAGAAGGTGCTTGTTTTGTTTGCTCCTCGGTAGCCTCCCGCAAGAAATTTGCACCACACATGGAACGAACCTATCAAGGACACACCGACACACACACACACAGACCCCAATTGATGTGACCTGTTGCGTTTCGTTCTCAATGTTTGCGTTTAACACCGGCTTGTTTTGAGTTGCGTTATTCTTGCACAATAACAAGAAAGAACAATAATTTTCATGATGGTATTTTCTACCCCTCATTGTCTAATACCTCACCCCCACCCCTTCATCAATGCATAGTTCATTTTTTATCGATCTAATTAGGTCGCATAGATGAAATTCAACATGCGATTATGAATGCTATCACGCCAGCAGAACGGAAAGCTGTTCAGGACAATAACAGTTCACGCACGGACATGGAGATCCGTATGACCGTATCCCGTAGGAGGCAGTCGCGGCGACGCACACCGATTTAATCAAAACCAATTGAATTGGGTGTGTTACAAATAGCTGAATGTGTGCTTGGTTGTGTGATAGGCTGTTTGAAGAGGATCGGAAAATGTGAATTAAACATGTGGTCCCTCCCCCGAGCCCTTCCGATCATTTGCCGTCATTACATGCCCCGATCTCGGGCCACTGGTTGGAGCCTCAGTCCGCGAGCAATCTACCGGAATGGAACTTCGTTTTCCCTACTCCAGTATCGACATATTCAATAGGCCCGGGGTTTGGGGTCAGTCAAGCGATTATTGAAAACGGTAAACGATATCTGCGACATCCCCGTCTAGTCACCCGGTCTCACCGAATGGACTACTGACTACTGAATTAGTCACTGCTTGATCCCAGTCTGTTCTGAANATGCTAAAAATCGTTTCATTGCAAGCATAGTTTGTAGTGTACTGAAACGATAGTAGGAATAAGCTTGATGCCAATCTCTGTTTGGCCCTTTTTCGATAATTCAAGCCAAATTTTTTGAGCTGCTATCCGATACGTAACCAGTAGTAAGCAATACGTTACTTTATTCAGTTTCCTTGGGAAAGTTTACGAATATTAACCGAGTGCTTTGTGCCTCTCCTCCCCCCCCCTACCGGCTACGCACACGTGGATCAGTCGTATGGTTTGTCAAAAACAGAAATCGTGCAAAATATAGTTCACAGCCATAACCGTACAATCTATCCTAAAGGTCCTCACTCAGATTGCGTATGACGAGAATGAGATGGGATGGGGTGAGGTGGGACAAAGGTGAACTTACACCAGATGAGTTGTTGTTCTAAATCCATCGAGCTGGATCTCACCTCGGGTCCATCATCGGACAAGGATATGCACACTTCGAATGTGTTTTCCGCAGTTTTCTCCACCTCCGGTTCATCGTCCAACGATAGCACAAATGTGGCCTCAGTATCCCCGGCCATCTGGATTCCGTTTAGCTCTGGTGATACACAACAAAATGTTACAGGATTGTCGTCCCAGATTTTCGGCCTGATCGAAAATGATATCCACACAGGAGAATAGCCAAATTAGGCCGGGATGAGACAAACAGATCTGAGTGCTGGGAAAATGAATTTCAATCTATTTGACACACAAAACTGATTTAGTAAATGTGGTTGTCGATGATGATGATGACGGAGAAGACTTTATCCTAAAATGAACGACTGTTTATTCGGTCGTGAACTCGTACGCGTGTGCGCGTGCGTGCGTGCGACCTTGTGTACGTGCGCGTTTGCGGATTTGCGTATGCGCGTGCGTGTGTGTACCAATGGGGCGAGAACTCGTCAAGACTCTGTAAGCGAATTGCACATTTCTCAGACAGGAGCACTTGCTCTGTCGTTTGGGACCAGCACCCAGTTGACAAGTGAGCGAATAATGATGACAAGGATGAATTTACCAGTCTCGATTTGTTCCAACGGTACTCAGCGAAAATATTCGAATGCCACGTTAAGAACCGGTCGCGCTGTATGCGTGCGTGCGTGCGTGTATGCGCTAGTGTGTGCACGCGCGCGCACACAAATTACGAACGCACTTCAACAACAACAACAACAAGACTGTGGACGGTTTTCTTCGGTTCTGATTGGACCACACGAGGTAAAATGAAGTACATTTCATCAAACTCAAGTTATGCTATAGAATAGTTGCAAGCGAATCGCTTTGTGAACTAGGTACACAAACACACATGCACGGACGAGCGGACGCACGGTCACACGTCCGCAAGTACGGCCGCACATGTATAGTTGGTGTTGGTTGTTCACATGTAGACGACAGGCAGATAGATACATGCGCGGACGGTGTGTGTGTGTGTGTACGTACGTTTGTGTAAAAATGGACATTGAGGTACGGGTATATACTAAATAAGGTTCAATCGAAATGGATATACCTGTGTGTTCATGTCTGAATGTGGCCACTGCATCAGTTGTATTGCTTGTTACTGTCATCATCCATACACCGCACGTATGGATGTACGTGCCGTTGCAAACTTGCCATGACCTGTAAGGATAATTCATGAACATTGGGACAGCGGTCACTATCGCACCTCTCCGCACCTCACAGGACAACACAACCGACCTACTCCCCAACTACCCTCTTAAAAAAAGTGACCAAATCGACCAACCGACTGACCGATCAGTCGACCTTATTGGTCACAAGTTCTCCCCCACCAACCGACCACCGGTAAATCCAATTTGAAAATTTCCTCTTTTAGGTTTCCAGCGTCGGATTCCGAGACCAAATTTGCCCACTTGTAAGATGCATGTAGAGATAGATGATGGTTTTGTGCACGAGTAAGTGTATACCAATACCATAACTATAAATGTGAATGAAGGAGACTAGCTGTCATGCGGGCGTGTCGCTATCTGTGTGTACATGAGTGTGTGTTTGTGTGTGTGTGTCTGTGTGTACGTTCACAGTTGGGGATGGACAGCATAACACATCGATTAGGACGGCATCTAAAGAGACACGCAGTGAGAGAGGTGGTCGTGTGTGGTGATTACAAGGGCTGGCTGGCTGGCGGGAGGGAGCGGATTGTATTCACATACCTGGATGGATATATTGGAACTTAGGAGAAAGCTATCCTTAGTTCGAGTACAGCACTGAGGACAAGTTAGCGCACAAACGACATCGCACTCTAAGTCAGGGGAGGACAGGAGACTTGGCATTTGTCATGCTATCCTGGTGCCTCATTCGTCCGGAAGTGGGTGCCCGTGGAGGCACACATACAAGCACACACACACAAACGCGCACATATAGGTAGCGCAAGTTACCTGTGCTTGCAATAATGTGTGTGACGACACACCTCGGTCAGGGAGACGTTAGATACGGGAGTCTGTTCTGTCTCGTGCCATAGAAAATTGATCACTTCCACAGGATCATCCATCTATCTACGCAATATAAACGGATAAAGATAAATTACCCATGGATTCATTTTTCCATTTGGCAACCCGTACCACACGCGGTCGCTTCTTTTTTCGCTCGATACGTGCTGTTCTCTTTTTTTCACTACAGGCTATGAATTTTTATTACGATGTGCGTCCAAATGTGAAATGCACTGCAAGCCTCATCAGCCTGAGAGAGCGAGGGGGAGAGAGAGATTGTGCAAAGCAAATGTAAAAGTCGAACACGACTATAGATCCAGAACGCCGTCATTCAAACGACTGCAATTGCAAGTGATGTGATTTTGCACTTAAATGAACGACAGCTGTTTTTATTCGCTGCGTATACTAAATTGTTCTACTGGCTTCGACGTAGCTTGAGGTGCGATGAGTATGACAAGTTTACTCTGGGCCCATTTCCTCCATCTTTTTCTTCAGATAATCCCCCATAATTGTTATCCGATTTACTGGTCAAATTTAGTTCTGTTAGATAGAAAGGGTGGTGGTGGTCCGGTGGTGGTCCGGTGGTAAAGTCACCAGTTTATCACCCCCGAAGATGTTTGTTTTAATCCCACTACCACCAACATCACTGCCTAACTTTCCCCATTATCTGTGTGTTGTATAGCACTCCTTCGACTGACCGCTACTCTTTTCCCAAAAAAATGAACCATCATGTATTGATTAAAGGTAGTAGAAAGGAATAAATAATAGTTGACCTGTTAACTGGCAAACTGAGCAAGGTGGCGGGGCCTTCCGTTCGATCATTGTCACATAGTCACTGACATTCCCGTTGTTTCTATACATTAAATTTGTGGGTCGTTTCCATAGACATATTGTGCAGTTACGATGACGCCAGTAGCGAAATTTCCGAACACCTTCATGAAAAACATCAAGAACTCTAATTGGCTTCCGGAGGTAATTTAATTTGTAAAATCAGTGAGAAATAAATACAAAAGGATCCTCTGAAAATCTCGTGGACATTGGTGGAAGCATCGAGGTGGTTGGAGAGTAGCACTGCGTCAAAGAGCTTTGTCACAACTCTGTATACCCATCATTATCAGCAACAACGTCCGTTGGTTGCTTGGAAAATTACCAGATGTATCTGATATTGTGCGCCGAATGGAATATCCTAGCATAGGCGCAATTCTATTACAAGAGACTTGGTTACATCGCGAAATTGATGAACAGATTACTAAAATCGACGGCTTCACCGAGCCGACCGTCCGGCAACGTATCAGAAGCGTGGAGGAGGCTTGGTGACTTATATCACCAACACTTGGTACAAGAACGTGAAGCAAACATTTGCTCATTCTACTGGTCACATATGTGCTTCCGTACATGAATGTAAGCCAAAGTACCTCAGTAACTAGCGGTCGATTGTCTTAGCTAAAATTTATATTTCTCCTTTTTGTCCCTCAAAGGAACATCTTCATTTCTCAAGTACTATTTCCATAACTTTAATGAGTTATCTTGATTTCTCGCTATGTATTATCTGTGATGATTTCAATCGTGTTGATATCAGCTTCTTGTCCGTTCTGGGTTTGACAAACACAGTGAACTTCCCAACAAGACTAAATGCTCATTTAAACAAGTGTTTTGTAAAAGGTGCCAGTATTTTTACCGTATCTGCTCTCTTCACTCTTGGGTTTTCAGACCATACCCTTCTTAAAGTTTCCCCAAAAGTGTACAGCAAGGTCAATTTTGATTGTAAAACCTGCCTTGAGAAAGGTTACCCACGGTCACCGAAACATCGGCGAATATAATTCTCTACCCACATCGCTGTGTTATTAACACATTCACAATCAATCACATATCATTCACAAAATGATATGTGACATAAAAAGAAGGAAACGTCAATGTAACCAAGAGAACCTAGAGAAGCTCAATGTGATGGTCTCTCAGACGGACTTCAGTGTGTTAGACAACCCCAATCCTTGCATCTACTGTGATCACCTTACACCGTATCCAAACTTCTGCTACGCCTATATGTTGCCCCTGAGAAACGCTATACCTTCGGTGTGACCGCATCTCCCTCCCCATCTGAAGCTGTTACGTCGAAACAAGGAAAGAGCTTACAAACGGAAAGATCTTCAAAGAGTGAAACTCTTATCTCTTGCTATCAAAGGTAAGCTACATCAACAGAGCGGCATTTATACTCGCACACTCCTGCACAACAAAACCTGCCGGGAAACCTGGGACACCATCAGGCAACTGAGTGGTCAATCCTCAATCGTGTCTCGAACAACAATGGACGTTGAGGAACTAAATAAAACATTCTACAAAAGTACCAACAACACGGGGACAGGGCCAATCATCATCAGTGCAAACATCGACCCAAGCAATAAAGAACCCTTTACTATTCGACAACAGGATGTTTGGAAAGAGTTGCTAACACTCAAACCCAATAAATCACCCGGTCCCGATAGGTCGGAGGCTGCCATCCTTAAGAAGTAAGCTCACACACTTTCACCAGCGCTCACAGCTCTGTTTAACCAGTGATTGGGAAACGGAACTGTACCGGATTGCTGGAAATCTGCCTCCATCACTCTGGTGCCTAAAAGAGGCCCCTCAAAATTCCGTCCCATTGCATTTACGTCTGTTGTGTTGAAGCTTTTCGAGAAGTCACTCCTTCAATGAATGTCATCTCAGCTGAATGTGCAGGATGAAAACCAATTTGCGTACCGTACTAGAGGCCCTAGCTTCTCTGGTTCACTAAATTCTGTCAGCACTTGATGGAAACAAGAAATCTATCAGAATTTGTTTTTTTGGATAACAGTGACAGGTCTATGCTGTTAAATATTTTGTCTTCCAACGGAATATTGCAAACCATAACTGCGGCACCAACTATCTCACAAATCGATTACAGTTCACACGTTATCTTGGTCGTTTCTCCTCTTCCTTAATTTCTACACTGGGCGTAGTTTAGAGTGCCATTCTATCCCAGTTTTTCTTTTTCACTTATATTTCATCCATGCCTACTTTACAAAATTCCCTGCTCATCAAATATGCGGACGATGTTGTGCTCGGAATCGGCCACCCCGATGGATCTG